CCACCCACTTTCGATCTAGAGATTTTTTTTTATTCTGATTAAATCCAACCACCCCACATGGAGATCAAACGAAAACTACAAGATTGCATTTGTTTGTTCTCATAATATATTTATAATTTTTTTACAATGTAAAAAAAATAAAATTAGATGGATCTCACATAGATGGGCTTTTAACGGACCACAATGAATTAGGAATGATATGATTTATATAATGTTTAATCAAAAGAAAATTGTAAGCATGAGATTAGGCAAGGTTTTATTTAAGGGAGTCATGTTCAATGATTGACTTATGCATTGTCAAAATGATTTACATATTGGGTTACTAAAATACAAGTGACCAAGTATCCATTATTTTTTTTCAATATAATACTATCAAAATTAAGGGAGTGCTTGTTTTAATTAAATCGGCTCACAACAATTTTTTTATTAATCATGATTAATTTTAAAAAAGATATTATAATTAGTGGTTAGTGAGATTTTGAGTTTATATTAAAATAATATTTAAAATAAAATAATTAAAATTGACTTGATATAAAAGTAGGAGAGATAGTGTAAAGTGATGATTAGTTAAAATTATGTGAGTAGATGAATAATAAATTATATTTTTCCATACATTATCTTAATAAAGAAAAAAGAAAAATTATATATATAAAATAAGAATAAGGTTAATTCATTTTTAGAAAGTATTTTTCGCCAAAAACATTAATTACCTACTATAGAAAGAAATAATATAATAGGTTTAAATAAAAAAAAATCATTAATGCATAGTTTCTATATAACTAGGTTTTCAGTTTATGTTTGTTTAGTCAATTTTCAGTTTACTTTATTTACGTTGATGGTTGTTTGGTAGCCAAAGATTATGTAAACAATTAGGCAGCCGATTTTGAATTCTCATTTTATGGAGGATTCTTTTTTATTTTAGCAGATTTATTAGAATCATTGATTTTTTTTTATCGGAATGATAGACTTTCAATAGAAGAAAAAAACACATACTTACAAACTAGAGAACAGCTAAACAGCCAAAAAGACAGCTACTCAGCTGAATCTAGTTGGGAGGACTAACCACATATGCAGATAGTCCGAGGCATCCTAGAACCAACTTAAACACAACCCACTAGCACAAAAAAACTCAACACAACAACAATAACAACAAAAGCTCCCAGCAGAAGAATAACACAACTCCCAGCAGGAGAATGCAAACAACAGCCAGAAACAAAAAGACAAAACAAACAAACAACAGAAAGACACCAAACACAGAAGACCTGCACCCCGGTTCCCCCAAACCAACTGGCGACTGCCACCCCACGAACAAGATCGAAGCAACACCCGCTGGTAGCCTACATACGCCCAACACCAGAGAAAATACAGGAGACTGGGAAACCAAAGCACCTGCCAAAGAAAATCGACGACCCACCGCAGCCGGCCGTCAAAATCCGCCGCCCGAAGCAGCCCGACAACCCGACGGATCCCCAATCCTCCATGGCCATATGTTATCCGAGGAAATCCAGGCGGAAGAGTACCGCCGCATCCCCTCGCTACTCACTAACGAAACTGCAATCGGCCCAAGTCACTGAACACCAACCAGAGGAAGAGAATCGCAACTCAATCACCAGTTCTCGTCTCGCCCTAGTTGAATCAGACTATCGCCTCCCCCCACCACAGTATCCGACGAACGAAGCCCAAGAGCCACGTCTGCCGACCAGACCCCAATCCTACCCTAGAAATCGAGGGTCTCTGGAGCACCGCAGTCTCAACCAACACACTAACTACCAGCAGGTAGCGCCGGCGCCTGACCCTACGCCTCCCATCAACCGACAACCACCAAAACAGCCCAACGGCCAAAGTTCCACCAAACAGAGTGGGGAAAACTGAACTTACCAGGAGAAGCAAAGTCTAACCAGGACTGCCCAAGAGAGGGAAGGAGCCGCGGCAGACAGCCCCGTCGGAGAGGAGGCGCGCCACACGCACGGAAGGTTAGAATTCAGAAAAGGGTTTTTTTTTTCTTCCGAGATGAGAGAGAACACCTTGAGAAGAATCATTGATTTAGATTAGCTTATATGTGATATACACAAAAAATAATTTTCGAATTTAAAATTTCCATTTATAGATGATTTTTTATTTTATTTTATCATATTTATTAGAATCAGTGATTTTGATTTACATATGTGTTATATGCACAATACAATTTTATAGGATTATTTAAATTTGTTTATGATGTAACGGTTTGTTATGAGATATATACAAATCCCTTTTAAATATACATATTTAATGTTCTTTTATATAATTAAAAAGTATAAAAATATTAGTAAATATTATTTAGCTAATCAAGTATAATCGATATTAAAATGATAAACTGATATCATTTGTCGAACTGCCATGTAAATTATCATATGATTAATAAATCCTTTCGATCTTAGGTTTCCAGTGAAGTTCCAGTGTCACCAGTTCTTACTTATACTTTTGTAGGCATGATGATAAAGAAGAGTTCGTTTTTAGTCATTGTCAATTATATGTTGTTGTTTTGTATTTAAGTACTAGAAAATAGTTGAAAATATTAGTTTGTGAGACGACGAGTTACCCAATAATCAAAATGTTGTGTAAAAAGTAATTTTTAATAATATATTATTTTTTTCCATTTATATTTTTATAATTTGACATTTTTTATTTATTAATACACTTCAATTTATAATATTTCACTCTTTTATTTATTAATACACTTCAATTTGTAATATAGCTTAATAAAATACAACATGTGCAAAAAACAATAAAAATTATCGTTTCTTGCTCAATAAAGTAAATTGTATTTTTCGGATAAAGATCATCGTTCTTGACGTAACTCACGGATTTTTTTTTTCATCATTTAATAACGGATAACGATATTGTATTTGAGAGGTCAATGTACAAATGACTGCAAATGATTGACTATTCTTTTCATAGAATGATGTCCATAGCTTATCCATGACGTGGATTATCTCATTCACATGATCATATCTATGCAAATGAGTCATGTGGTTTTATACTAATACTAATATTAAGGAAATGCTACGGTTCCGCTACAGAACTGTAAGAAAAAATTGGTTTTGTACCAATTTAATAATTCTACTTTTCATAAGTAGAAGACTTAGGAAATTCTCAAAACCTTGTTAAGGTGAATGAGAAATTAATTCTAAGTGTTATATGTTAATTAATTGAGTTTAAATAACTCAAAGGTTGTAGGGTTCACAAACATTCTGTTTTGACAAATGTTTGGACGAACTAAACGAGCCATAATTATGCATTATGTATGCTAGAATTGTAGAAGGGCTCGTTGGGGACAAGTAGGAAAAAACGGAACTCGATTCTGAGTCCGTATGAGCTCGTACGAGCCCGCGGCGCACGGGCGCGCAACTGGCTGCGGAAATCAAAGGGTCGCAACCCTTGGTGACCATAAGGTATCTTTTGGCCACTAGATGCATTCGTTCTCGTTCGGGCACATCCCAAAAGATGTCTTTTAACACTTAAACCTCTTGGAGGTGTTTCCCTACATCTATAAATACCCACATACTTGAAATCATTAATATTGTGAAAATTAGAGAGCTCTTGCATTACTTTTCAAAGATCATATAGCATATTGTGTTCTTTGATTTTTTTTTCATTGAGTTTTGGGAGTTCCAAACAATAGTAGTGTTTGTCGAAGGCTTGTATATTTGAAGTACCGCTATATACAAGTCGAAAGTCGTATTTTGGAGGCGTTTGCCGTTAACGGTGGGTATTTTACGGGGCAATTTCGTCTTAAGGAGAATGTAATTATTACGTGTCTCGACTTTGATTTTGTTTCGTTTTCTTCATTCTCCTTAAGCCGTCTTTTTGATATTCACAAACCACAAATATACTACATTCTTAAGACGAAATCGACAACATACTTTTTTCCGATTTGTGAGTTCATAAGATGGCAACCGGAGAAAACCAAACGTCTTCTTTAAGTGCTCAACCAATGGTAGCTGCTCCCGTCCAAAGTGAGAGACCGCCGAAGAGCAATGGATCTGATTTCAAGAAGTGACAACAAAAGATGTTGTTCTACCTCACAACTCTCTCACTCTCTCGTTTTCTTTCGGAGGACCCCGAAAGTAAGACTAACGTCCAAAAACATATGGTTTTGGATGTTTAGCATCATAGTGATTTCTTGTGTAGAAATCTAATACTTAACGGACTAGAAAAGACATTATATAATGTGCATAGCCTGGTTAAGACGTCTAAGGAGTTGTGGAACTCTTTGAAAGCAACGTACAAAATGAATGATAACGACACTATGACTTTTGTTGGTAAATTCCTTTAGTACGATATGATTAACACAAAGTTGGTGGTTAATCAAGTTCAAGATATTCAAATTCTTCATGATATGATGGCCGAGGAATTGATTGTGAACGAAGCCTTTTAAGTGGAGGTTATTGTTGAAAAGTTGTCTCCTCTGGAACACGATGATTTAGATGTTTGATGAACACGATGATTTTCGACGGATTCAAAGCTTAGGAAAACATCATCCTTCATTGCCCTCGTGTACATTTTCTTCACAGAAGTCTTCATGCATCTTCAAAAATCTTCAAACTTGATTTAGAGAGAAGAGATGAGAGGTAGAGAAAGTCCCACTGGGTGTGCCAAATTTGTAACAACAAATTTTACTTCGATATTCCACTGGGCATGCCAAATTTGTAACAACAAATTTTATGAAAAATCATAAAATTTTTGTACAACTTGAATATATATTGATCAAGCGATATGCGGGTACAATCTCTATATAGAACCCTCTGATTCTTCTCTTCTTGGATCTTCTTGGCTCTCCTTGATACGAGCTTAAACTAACAATGCCCCACATGAATGAAATTAATGCATGTATGCAATACTTGAGAGTTCTGGCGAAGCGTCATTGCATCAGGATAGATAGCTTGTGGCTTTGAATCTTCCTTAGTGAAATACTATCGGATACACTAGCCAGTTAGTAGCGCGATGCTTTGAACTTACTGGCTGTTTGTGTGCACCAAGACAATATTACTCACACAACAACAACTCTAACAATTTCTTGTTCTCACGTTATGTCCATTTCGGCCTTGGACCATATCTCGGTTTAGTAAGTGTTCATTGAAGCGGCCTATCTAAATCATCGTGTTCTACAAATGCTCCTTGATACGAGCTTAAACTAACTACAATGCTCTTTGATATGAGCTTAAATTATCTACAAAATCAGGACTCCTTGACACGAGAATAAAAGGTCTACAAGCCAAATATCGAAGGCTCCTTGACACGAGCATAAAATGTCTATAAATTTGAAGACTCCTTGATACGGGTATAAACTATCTGTCAAATCAAATCAACACTACTTGATACGAGTATAAACTATCCACATATCAAGTCACATGAGAACTCTTTGATACGAGTGTAAACTATCTACAAATAAAGTTAAATGAATTTCTCCTTGATAGGAGTTTAAACTATCTACAAACCCAAGTTGAAGATCTCCTAGATAAGAGTTTAAACTATCTTCATGACTCAACCAAATCTAAAATTTTGAGACTCATTCACTACCAAGACATGTTGTCCGTGAACAAGTCTCAAGGGGACATTTGTAGACATCGAAATTTTAATATTTTATTAATTAGTGTCTTTATTTATTTATGGACATAAATTCAAGATAAATAAGATATTTAATTAATAAAGTAAATAAATAACAAATCTTATGATAAGGAAAGAGATTATATCAAATCATGAAAGACCAATCAAATTTAAGTCTTCTCCTTCAAGATTCACTCTCCTACATCTATAAATAGGGCTCTCCTCAAAGTCACAGTCTTCTTCTTCAAGACTCACTCTCCTACATCTATAAATAGAGCTCTCCTCAAAGTCACAAAAGACACCTCAAAAAATCCAACACCTCATAAATTCTAGCTTTCAATAATTCTCTTGAAGATCCACAACATTCAAGTTAAAGATCCAAGAAGAGAAGAAACAAAATTTCGGTTTAGCCAACCTTCAAACCGAACCGAAATTTATGGTTCGGTTCTGTTCCAAACCAAAAAATCATCGACTGGAATGGTTCGATTATCGGTTATCTGATAAAATAAAGAAATGAACAAAGAACACTCATTCACTACCATAATTTCAATGTCTTACATAAAAGAACAAAAACAAAGAGGAGCCATAATTTCAAAGTATTACGAGAAGGAAATCATGAAACTGAGGTGTGTCACTACGAGGGAATTTGGATGACGAACGATGAGAATTGAGGAGGGATTGAAATTNAAAAAAACGAATTGAGGAGCAATGGGATTGAAAAATTTGGAAATTTTGGGCATACGTAAAATCAATATTCCTCTATTGGAGTTTAACAAAATTTATACTCAGAGTTTTAGATTTTTTTTTCTGGGTGTGATAGACCGATTGTTGGCAGAAGAGAGAAAAGAGACGCCGGCGAGATTTTTGGGGGAGAATATAGAAAAGAGACTGAAAGATGGGAAATAAAGGGGACAAGAAACCAGGAGAAAAAGAAAAGAAAAAATCTGTTTAATTAATTCCTTACTTGGTGGGCGTAAAATTTGAAAATTAAACCTTCAGTTTTGACCTTTTAAACAAGCAGTTTATTAATTGAATTAATGTTTTTGAATGCTTCTACGATGTTCTTATTTCAGAGATTGGGCCTGCCTTGTGGTGTTCGGCCGTGGGTGGGTGGCCTTTGTCTCAACTTATTAATATAAATGGGCCAAAAAACATAAGCATGGGTAGGGCTTTTATAACTTATATATATAAATATCGGTTTTCGGTTCGGTTCAGTTAACCGAACATGTATATCCAAACAGAACCGAAATCGAATTTTCAAGAAAATACAAACCAAAAACCAACAA